ACTGATGGATTCGGTCATATGTAAATGTAATCACCTGCTTTCTTACAGTATTTAGTTTGAGTTTCATGCTTTTTAATATGGCAATAAAAAGTTAGCAACTAAAGGATAATGACGAATTGTAGACTGTAACCGTAATGAGATACTGCAAATGGGTAAAAAAATCGTATTGTTCCACAAACCACAAATTTGTTTGGCAAATATTAATCAACTCAAAAAGGTTGATCACATGCATATTATGTAGCTAACACCGACATATCAATACATAAATCACCAACCCTACTCACACCCACCAAAGCAGCCCATCATTTTTCCCAAATCTATAAACACAACACAATAATACAACAGTGACAATTTTTGCCTTTAAAGAAAACGACGTCGACGTAGCACGAAACTTCTTTGTTTGTTCTTGTAACTTCATAGTCCGTACCAAATCTTTTTTTTTGTTTTTAATTAAAGTCACATTTATTGTGGGATCAATATTACTCTTCATGGATTATTTCATACTATATAATTTACACACAAATAATCATAAAGCCAAGATAAAAAAAAAACGTCTTTCACTACGTGTTAGTCTATATAATATAGATTAAGTCTCAAACCTAAATCACAAACTTCACTCAAAACCTAATTAAATTAGAGAGAAAGAAAGAGAGAGAAGTGTTGCAAAATGGGTTCTTCGTACCAAGAATCTCCACCATTGCTTCTTCAAGATCTCAAGGTTACTATCAAAGAATCATCACTCATTTTCCCATCCGATGAAACCAGTGAGAGAAAATCCATGTTCTTGTCCAACGTCGACCAAATACTCAACTTTGACGTCCAAACAGTTCATTTCTTCCGACCAAACAAAGATTTTCCTCCGGAGATGGTGTCGGAGAAGCTGAGAAAGGCGTTGGTGAAAGCCATGGACGCTTATGAGTTCTTGGCCGGGAGACTCCGGGTGGATCCTAGCTCTGGACGGCTGGATGTTGACTGTAATGGCGCCGGAGCTGGCTTTGTGACGGCGGCGAGTGAGTACACGTTGGAGGAACTTGGAGATTTGGTTTATCCAAATCCAGCTTTTGCTCAGTTGGTTACAAGTCAGCTTCCAAGTTTGCCCAAAGATGATCAACCCTTGTTCGCCTTTCAGGTAAACAACCTTTTGCTTTCTAATTTTTTGTTCCAAAATGATCCTAAATCTAATTAACAAATCACAAGTTTCTTTTTCTTTTTTTTTTTTTTCTCTTTGCTTGTTGTCAACATCACAATTTTCTTTTAATAGGGAAGAAAAAAAAACAAAAGTTTTGAGTGTATAAACACAAATAAGCTTTCTTAGAATCAAAATATTTTTGAACATGTTCACTATAAATTTTGTAAACTTTTAGCTATTTTGTAACCTTGAGGGAGCTAGGGATCTCAAGGATCTAAGTACTTTCATGATATTCGTATAAATCCAGTTCATATAGGCCATTGGTCGAGGACCATGTGGGTAAAGGTTAAAATTTTCTTGTACAATTTCCAACATAATTGTCTATTCTAAACTTATTAAATTGGTAAATAAAATATAACTTGTTTCTTCTATAGAGTCCAAGGATTAATTCGGTCTTTTGTTGTGAGATCTACAAATATAAGTGTTTAAGAAAGTTGCACCATGTATGTCACGGTATAACTCTACAAATCTTATGTTTTATAGTAGAAAATTTTCAATAAATAAATATAAGATAACGAGCTAAGAAAATAATTATAAATAAGTAATAATAGTAAAATTTTGATTCTTAATTTAATTACTTAAATAATCTATGAAATACAGAACTTAAGTCAAGTCTCGACAGTATGGAGTTTTATTTCTATTTGGTTGTAACAAACCATAAACGAAAACATAAATATTTGGGATATAATTGACTCAAGTAAAACATTCTTAAGAAATCTTTAAGTAAATCACCCACCCTATGCAGATTATATAATCATATATGTCAAGTATAACGAAACATGTAGTAACATGTGACATATATATAAATATATATACTCGGACATTATGTACCCCAGAAAAATAGTTTACCTGGGGCACAAATAATATACTAGTTAATAATATTAAATTTTTTAAAAATATTATATCTGTTAGTTTCTAAATACATGTCTAATAATTTGTTAGTTAAATTGAAATTAGAAAGATAACAATAGAATTGAAAGAACATAATTTTATTTAAAATGAATAAGGAAAATGCAATGAATCAATTATAGAAAAGAATAAAAATGTAGGAAGATGCTAAAAAAGAACTTGGGATGTGGCAAAGAAATGAGAAATAGTTAAAAAAAAAAAAAAAAAAAAAACAAACCAAAAATTTGAAAAGAGGAGAATCGAACTCTCTCCCTTAAGGGAAGCATGGGGCACTTAAAGCCAACTTAGCTAGGAAGTTAATACGTGCACTATTCAATTGATAACTCTTAATAGCTAGTATGGAGCACGTGCCCCACCTTATGATGCTGTAGATCCGCCCCTGCCGGACATATATGTTCCAGTTTGGCCTGCAGACATGTAATATGCCAAATAAGTTTGAAATTCTTCCAATGTACAATACTGACACATAATATACATTTGCTTGTTATTTATTATCTTTTATTTATATAAAAACTAGACATACATTTTGAATCTACATATTAGCATTGTCAAATTATCAAACTATAGAAGCAATCATCATTTCAATATAAAAAAAAATCAATCTAGTGTTTTTTGTTTTTGTTTTTCTTGACATCAAAATTTGAATCTTGTTAGTTGTTACTTGTTAGTATTAATTAAACTTTATAAGATATGATTGTAACATAAATCTACTAGTTCCGCGTGAAATTAAAACGCTGGTTATTTTTGTTGCTCATTTATTGAGTCCTACCAAACTTAAAGCAATCTAAATTAATGTGACATAACTCTGTTTGATATATACTGCCAATTAATGTAATCATCACCTTCTAAAGAAAATTAAATTATATAAACCATGCATATAATGAACATATAGGTAGTAGGTAGTAATTAAGTAGTAACTATAGTATTGTCTACATCTTTTAAAATGCGTCGTAGTATGTTAATATACTATGTACTATATAAATAATTTTGTCAAACTTGCAAGTTTTCAAAATTAACTTTTTTTTTTCTTTTTTAAACAGTAAATAAACTTTACGTTGAAAATTAACCAAAACAAAAAAAACCCATAAATCATAATATTTAACAAAAAATATATATATATACCCATAATCTACGTATAATAAAGAAGTGATTCAAAATAGCTGAAAAAATAAAATCAAAATAAGTGATTCAAAATAATATATCTTGAAAAAAAAAATTATATGTTTGGTCCTTGTAGTTGAGTTTGTCATGTCATGGAGATGTATGTACTTAAAATGAAAATTTGGGCAGGTAACATCATTCAAGTGCGGTGGATTTGCAATGGGAATCTCAACAAACCATACAACGTTCGATGGGCTTAGTTTCAAAACATTCCTCGAAAACTTAGCCTCTCTACTTCATGAGAAGCCCTTATCAACACCTCCATGCAACGACCGTACTCTTCTCAAAGCTCGTCATCCACCAAGTGTCACATTCCCACACCACGAGCTTGTCAAGTTCCAAGACTGTGAGACAACAACAGTCTTCGAAGCCACTTCACAGCACTTAGACTTCAAGATCTTCAAGCTATCCTCTGAGCAAATCAAGAAGCTCAAGGAGAGAGCCTCGGAGACTAGTAGTGGTTATGTTCGCGTGACGGGTTTCAACGTTGTAACCGCTTTGGTCTGGAGGTGCAAGGCACTCTCTGTAGCAGCAGAGGAAGGAGAAGAAACCAATCTTGAAAGAGAATCAACGATTCTTTACGCGGTGGACATTAGAGGGAGGCTGAATCCTGAGCTTCCACCGTCCTACACTGGAAACGCGGTTTTAACTGCTTACGCAAAGGCGAAATGTAAGGCATTGCTTGAAGAGCCGTTTGGGAGGATTGTGGAAATAGTAGGAGAAGGGGCAAATAGGATAACGGATGAGTATGCGCGGTCTGCTATAGATTGGGGAGAGTTATACAAAGGGTTTCCACATGGGGAAGTTTTGGTTTCTTCGTGGTGGAAACTCGGTTTCGCAGAGGTTGAGTATCCTTGGGGCAAGCCTAAGTATAGCTGTCCCGTTGTCTATCATCGAAAAGACATAGTTTTGCTGTTTCCGGACATCGATGGAGATAGTAAAGGTGTTTATGTCTTGGCTGCTTTACCTTCTAAGGAGATGACAAAGTTTCAGCATTGGTTTGAAGACACTCTCTGCTGATTTGATGGCTTCACTTTGCATTGCTATTGCCTTATTTTTCTTCACATTATATGGATAATACGGTTGAAATTTGAAAGTTCAAGACAACGCATGTATCTTTCTTCTATTTTCTTTTTAAGTACTAAAACTATGTAATGAAAACACAAAAGATATTGTACAATATCTAATCTCCAACGATTTAAGGATGATTTCGAAATGGAAATATATAGATATATACTGGTCATAATTTTATAGGTTGGTATTTGGTAAGCTTCTGCTCTCCTTCATCCTTTGCCTGTCACTCGTCTTTGTTTTGTGTCTATGCTCCCGCCCTGTGAAGCTGAGTTGTTTGGAATTAGCTCCATGTCTCGTTGCCTCTTCCTAGAGTGAATCGAGCTCTATTGTTTGTTTTGAGCTTGGCTGGTTTTGGTTAGTGATTAGGTAGTAGAATCCCGGCTTTTCCGATCTTCAGCTTTAGTTTATCTGGGAGAATGGATTAATCCTGGAGAATGTTGTTGTTTGTGTGGCCTTTTTTCAAGAGTCGACTTCTCTTGCTTCTTTGGATCACCAAGTAACCTCGCTATTCATGCCATCTCTCAAGTCAAAGTAAGGCTTGTGCGCTGTTGACTTGATTTTGTCCGAAACCAGCCATCTACGCCTCCTGAGCCTGACCAACCCCCTGACTAACTACTATGACATTGCATTTGCCTCTTTGCTTTTCATTTTTTCTGATAAATTTAGCTCGTTGTGAATTTTGGGTTTATATGATATAATTCCCATTAAGGACAAAACTGTGTAGGAGTCTCCACTAAACCACCTACATAAGTTGCCAAACTAGAATGTGGATTCAAAGAAACTTTAACATAATCAGCTTCATTCTACAAATTGGAATCAGAGAAGCTGCGGGTACAGACGCTCAGGCCACTTAGGGTACGCGCGTTTGTACAAGTTCATGCAGACAATGTCATGTTGCTGCACCACTCCATTGAATATACATTTCATCGCCCCTGCATTGTCCACATGTATAAGGAAGATTCTAGATACCAACTTCAACTATTTCAATCTTTATTCTAAGAATAATAATAAGGCCTTACCATGTGTGCCCACTGGCTCCTTCACACGACCACGACGACCACATTTTGACCACACTTCTACAGGCTGCACAAACAAACATTGTTCCATTCCCAAGCTTGAGCTTAATATTATGAAATAAACATAAAATTTTCAATCCATCAATTCTTCTTTTCCTTCTTACCTTGAACCATTTCACGTCTTCTGGGTTGTGGAACATATATCTGACTGATGCTTTCATTTTTGATACTCTCTGAGGATACCTGAACCAAACCACATTTAAAACAGCTTAGAATTACAATATTGTGTATGCAATTGTACTTTGAAAGAGAAAGGTAATAACATTACCCAGTTAATATTATTTTCTTTAAAATTATTTTGTTGGGTTCAATGCTTTTCAAGGAACCAAGGGCAGCAACGGCAGGATCTGACCCTTCAGATATCTTTAGAGCTACCAAAGGAAGGGGTGGGAAAGATATTGGGCCATATATTGAAGCCAACGAGAAACTCCCTGAATGCAAGAATCTCTCCATCTTGTGCTTGTCTGAGCTGAAATTGTCGGTTGAAAATACCGGCCTGGAAATTACCCCCAAACCAATATTAATAAAGATTGCAAACAGGAAAAGCTACTGCAGTAGATAAAGCAGAATAATTTTACGACCTTGCAATGACTTGACGGAAACCAACATGGAACATAAGTTCTTCTTTCGTTTTAATAGGAGCTTCGTAACCATCATACTTCTTTACACTGCAAAAGCATAAACAAACGCGATGAGAATAAAGCTGAGCACAAAAGGTCTCAACAAATAGAAATCTAAAGAGTGATTACCTAAAATGCAGAACTGACATCTGGATTTCGTGTTGTATAAGGCGAAATCCTATAATGGGTTTTGTGTTCACAAGGGAGGATAGTTTAGAGGCAGCACCAAGAGGCACTTCCTTAATATGCAGTCGGACATATGACCCAGTCTGTACACAATCATCTCTGTCTTCTTCTTCCATCTTCAGGGCTTGTTTGAGCACAAGCTTTTGAGTCCGGGCAACGTTATCAAAAGCAAAAATTCTGGCATAGTCCTGAGGTAGAGACTCCTGCATTTGCAAACAAATAATAAAAATTAGTAACAACACTTTACAGGCAAAAAATAATCAACATCAAGATCAGTGTTACTACATTTGGATCCCACGAGGAGGTTCGGAAGGATTTAAGACCCCTGTACTTAGCGAAACATCTTCTTGCAGGAACATCAATGGGAGTCTCTACTTCATCTGGAAATTCTGAGAAAACATAACAGAAAACTTTACTTCACTTCTTATAATGAGAAAATACAGGGAAGACAAATGAATATGTGTACATATACACAGACACACGATAACTTATACTGAATATAACTCCACAAAAGACATAAACACCAACCCTCGTCATCAGCATGTGCCTCTTTGATTTTCTTTATTTCATCCTTAATTTGTTCATCTGTCAAGTCTTCATCATCCTGAACAATAACAACGAGCAGATTGGCTTGTAACTTTACCAAGATACTCAACCATAATAAAAATACAGTGAAACTACAGGTACTATTTTCGCAAGTGACAGAAAAAGTAGACAAACACTTACCATCATCTCGGAGTCATTCTGAGTTCCACTATCAAAATCCCGCACGTTCAGTGATTTTTCGTCATCCTCAAATTCTTGGTCATACTTTCTTTCCTCATTGGCATCCTCTTCTCTATCCAATACCATACCGTTATCATCAGAATCACCAATATCAGAATCTTCTTCATCTGTGTCATCCACAATCCAAGCAGCCTGGAAACCAAATCATAAACCAAAATACGAGGGCCACCGAGTTATGGCCTTTATTTTGGAGGACAATTGCACCAGAGAGAAAAATAGGGTAAGAACATTAGGTTAAAAACCATCCAGAAACCTGATATTCTGAAGTCCCTCTTGGCAAAGTCTTCTTCTTTAACTTTCCCTGTTTCTGATTTTTGTCAGCCTCAGCCATTTCTTCCTCTGTTGGCCATGTCTACACAATGAAGCATTACACAACTGGTGACTTCGCAGAACAGATAACTACACAAGTCAATTTTCCCCTTCTTCAGTGAAAGAACAAATTGGACTTACCTGTTCCCCTGCTAAAGGATCTGGAGTGTTTTCAACTACTAAAGGCTCTTGTTTTATAGGATCAGGAACCAGAGAGTTCAATACCTGGTCAAATCAAACACATGTAAAAAAGAAGAAGGCCGTGAAAATAACATCATGAAAGGACAATAACATCTTATTTCTCAAGGAAGCAACTAATCAGAATATGATATCATGACTGAATTCCAACAACCATATAAGTAAAAGTTTTATTTTCTTTGAAAGATGTTGTGCAGGCATTCAACCCAATGTAACTCTTACATAGTAAAAGTTTGTTGATCTGTGAATGAAGATATCACATATACATACCTCTTCATCATGTAAAGCATCTAATTCCATGGAATTCTGATTTTTCCTTTCATTCAAAGGAAATGGGTCGTTTAGCACTTCAATTTTTGAGAACTGAAAATCACCAACGCCAGAAACATGGACCTAATTTTAAGGAAAAAAAAAAAACTTTAGGGGATCGGACATGGGTACAACATAAGGCATGACAGAGAGTATAAAGGCTTGATTACCAGCTGATTTATAGACAGTTTGCGAGCACGCAAGTAACCAGAGAGAAGTAGAGTGCACTTTCCTGAGCTTTCATCATCCACCAGCATCCCAACCTAAATGCACCACTCAAAATTATGGAGTTACTATACTTTTTTACAAAACCTTTTTTCTCAGTCAAAATTAGATGTTACCAAGTACCTTCTGAGCCACAACATATGGTCTTTGACTCCGCCAATGAGGTACAGTAAGCCTTTGTGCTTTGAATAACCACATAAACTGCAAACATTCCCAGAAGTATGGATTTACATCATCTAGACTAAACATGACTTATCAAGGACCTTAGATCTATTGAAAACGGCTTACTAAAATAAAGAAAATGTACCTTATGCAACTCATCTCTGGTATCTGCTGGATAAAACTTACAATCCTCAGGAAATTCAGAAGCAAGTTGAGAGGCACATATCTTCTTCAGCTCATTTTTCTTTTTTAATTCACTCGGTAAATCCTACAGTCATACAAAACGAACTTGAGAAGCTCAACTTCAAGAACAACATTTTAAAAATATATAGACAAGCAAGAAACTTACACGAATCAATACAGTGGTGCTTGGTAGACCAATTGATCTAAACACAGAAAGACACTGATTTCCAAATGAATCTATATAGTTAGATTTATTCTCTTCCCATGGAGAGCTTGCAGATGCAACAAAAGCCATCAAATCGGCAACCTATTTATTACCAGTAAGAAATATATCAGTTAACAACTGTTACAAACTCTGCTCAATGAAAGAACCAACAAACAGAGACAATAATTCTCATGCCTTGGCCATTTCCATGCATGTCAGAAGATCCCCGTGAGGCGCCTTTAACACCTGTGATATATTCACAACATTAATGATCACACAAGGATTTGACTTTAAGTAGCGATGTTAGTTCGAGTATATATATATCATAAGGGAATACACATACGGTTGCTTTTAGCTTATACTCAGAAGATGCAACTGTCGAAGAAGTGACCCCAGAACCATCAGAAGATAATAGCTCTAAAAGATCTTCATTAAGTGAATCCAATTCCACAGAAGCAGAGAGAGGAAACAAAACCTATCATCATTAGCAAATACAAAACATAAGGGTGATGATTGCAACAAAACACACATAAAACAAGTAACAATGTAAACTCACGATAACACGAGGAGCACTGTTTAATCCTCCTGATGCTCTCTTCTCCTTCAAAACTGTTGCCCTTTTCTGCTCTCGAAGCTAACATTAAACAAAAATCAATAAAAACACAAATTCAAAATCTTGATAACTCTGTACAAGGAGAAATTTACCATCTTGCCACGCTGAAAACGAGCAGCTTTAGCACCTTTAACATAGTTATTACTGTCTGATTTCCCAATCCGGCAACTATCTGATTCAATAAAACGGTCGGGAGATTTCAGAATCTGAAGATGGGAAACAGAGGAACTGTTTAAGGCTTAAAGAGTTTACCTTGGAGGGAAGTTCTGTGGAGATTACGAGAAGATTTGGAGGTAAATCTAGTCTTGTGAGCTTTGTTAACTTGAATTCTAGAGTTTCCCATGGTTGCTGGATTGGTGACTGCACACAAAAAACTGCTTCGAAGAAGAAGCGATGGAGGCTGAGAGACCGCGAGGAAGAAGAATGGTGAAAACGACAAAAGAGCTAATCCGTTTAAACGACGTCGTATTATATATTAAACCCTAAAAAAGGTTTAGGGCTTATTACTGTACTCCGAAAGTTTTGAAAATTTTAGTTTTAAAGACCTTTTAACTGAACAAAACATTTCACTATTTCATGTTGCTTCTTAAACCATTTTATCATTCCCTCAACTACATTACTTTACTGAGATATTATGCATCATACATTTGTATCCACAAGAAGCAAACAAAAAGGATTTAGCCAAGTTGAGGGATGTAACCAAAAAAAAAGATGGAAACTGTGCAGAGACTCAAGCATTTTCGTTTTCCAATCTCTCTGATGCGTCTTCAACTGCAGGTTGTGGCTTTGTGGATGGAGGCAAACAGCGTTTTGAGAAGAATGTAGATATTGTTTTCGGTAATCTCTTACCGCCTTTATCTGGTGACGGTGATAATCCAAGCTTTGTTAATACTTCTTTCTTTACCTGTTCATTAGAGCGAAAGATCGCAGAATGTTGATAAGCAACTCTGTCTCAAGGCAAAATCTCAAAAGAGATGATCAAAGTATTAACTAACCTGCCAACGACTATCCTCGAAATCTGATATTTCACGCACTTTTTGTCTAAGCTTGGTCTTTGGAACATCAGGGAACTTCTGCTGTAATGTTTCAACTACTCTATTGATACCTTGAGAGCATGATTGAATAGTTGATACCTGGACGCCAAATTCTTGTTAGGGCCAAGTACCAATATATAAAAAATGTTATTTGTTTCGAGAGATCCACTTACAACTGTAAGCAAATCTGAGTCTGGTATGGATTTTGCTTTTGAATTAGATGGAGGAGTGCTCTGGCTACAAGTAGACTTGTTGGTTTCTAGATCCTCATCTTGAATGTCATTGATTGATATCTCGATGAGAGAAGACCAAGGGAATGGTCGCACTACGAGAGCTCGCAGACATATTTGTTCCACTTTTTGTGTCCCTTCTAAATCTTTAGCAGCTAAGAGAGGGACCTTCTCATGCGTTAGGTTACATATGATCAGTGGCTGCGTTTTCTTGAGAGCGTGGTCAGTTAAACTTTGCAGATGTTTTTGTTGTTGGAGTAATATGCAAAACTCTTGACTTTCTTGATCTTGCTTAGATGATGGCGTACTTGCATCCTGTTCAGACGGATCAATGTCCATTCTGTCCACTTGTACCCCCTGAAACAAAAAATCACAAAATCTTTTTCAAGAAACTTTACATTCGTTATAAATGAAGAATTCAAATTGTAACTTGATCAATAGTTTGGATACTCCAAAGAAACGCAAATTTGGCTTCATTAGATTCCCAGACTGCAACCTAGATTTAGAATAATCTATGACGAGTTAATTAAAAACTGCTTTGTTACCTCATCTTCTGATAGATATCCATCAGGAACCATAAAGTCATCTTCACTATCATCTTCATCATCAGCCTTTGAACATCCTTCTTCCAAACTTTCGTCTTCATCTTTCTCACAATCTGAAAGGCTTTCACCAGCTTCTTCCTGTAAACAAGTATCTTTAGTACCCAGTGATCTCTTGTCAAGTTTTTGGGTTGTAAAGTTACAATTTCCAAAAGCATGTACTAATTCAGTAAAACTACCTCTTCCCATTCTTCATCACTATCAACTTCATAATCCAATTCTGGATCCTTTTGCAGAGGACGACGTGGCTTTACAACTTGACTGCAAATGTCAAACAGAAGATCCCTCATTAAGTTACAGAGGTTAGGATCTCTAAACATAACAGTACCATTGTAAGCAAACTTAGAGAGTGTAAACTATCTTCTCCTTTAAATTGGACGGCCAGATGCATATCAAAATAAGAAATGGTATTGTTGTAGCAGAATCACTGAGAACGTTCTCTACATTACAGGTTCACTACAATGATTGTTCAATCCAAATTGAAATGCATAAGATGATAATAACCACAGATCCAACATAGACGATGGATCAGCACAGGGTAAACTAGCATAGGAGTATCTTTACTTCAGAGGTCATTTATCGTATGCTTTATTAAACACCATGAAAAAGTAGTCACATAGGCAGCTGAGAAAAACTTCATAACTTTTGTAAAACAAAGCTAAGATGAAAAAGTAGTACCAAACAAACCCAGGGGAAAGCTTGTAAATAAGTCAAGGCTTCACAGATATTTATTTTTGGCTAACTAATAATCTATAATATATTAGCTTACTGCTGAAATGAAAGTTTTCAAATATAAGTACTAACCTTTGGCTAGGCCAGATACCATAAAAGCCTGGTCTGCAGCTTTTATCAAATTGTAGCAACTGCTTGGCCCTCCTGGACTTCTTACGATCAGATGAGGAAGACTCACACTGCCTAATGCAAGTTACACCATCAAAGTTTTTCTCTTCATGTCCATCCCCATGCTTCTCCATGTTAGGTTCACCATCAGATGTAGCTAGTTTTAGTTTTGGAAACAGTTCACTCTTAGGCTGCCTACGCATCCCCCAATGTTTTTTCGAACTCAAGAGCGAATGACCCAACTGACGCCAGGAAGCAAAGTGTTCCCTACAAAGAAATACAACTCAGATCAAAATACCCAAAGTGACATCTCACAGAATCAGTCAACAAGGAAAACAACTGTCATACCTGCGAATATCATCAACTGTAGCTTCACAAGTAGTTGAAAAGGCGTTGTCGATGGCCTGAATAACTGTTCCACTTTCATTATCATGTTTTGTACATGACGGCTCTTGAGCAGTTACTTCACTGGAAGGAAGTTTGGGTTGGGTCACTGAACTGTCTTTACTTTTTTTAAGAAACCGCTCCATGATTGAAGCTTGTTTCTGTACTTGAAGTTGCTTCTTTAGCTCGGCTTGTTCCTTCTCTCTACGCTTCTGCTCCTTCTCCGACTCATCTTGCTGTTTCTTTATCCGTTTTCTTGACTCAGTCTCTTCCTTTTCTTTATTATTTTCATCGATAATTGCTTTCTGCAGTAGCTTCTGCTCTTTTTCCTGACAATAGCGAACAAATGCTCAGTCAGAAATCAGAATTTGAAATCAAATAACACATCCAAGATGACCAAAAGAGAGTAACCAGCGCCAAAAAAGAATTCCAGAAATGAAGGAAAATATCAGCTTACTTGTTGCAATCTTTCTTTCAATACTTGACGTTCCATTCTCTTCTTTTCCTTCTCAGCTTCACATCTACTTTTCTCCAACTGTTTAAGAAGCAGCTTCTCTTCTCTCTTTGAGTCTTTCTCAGCCCTTAACGACCAAACACAATAACTGAGTAAGAATAAATACAAGAGATAAATATAAACCAAGTACTACTTGAAGATTCTTACATCTCTGTGCTGTTCTTCTGCATCATGTTATCCATGAATGATCGAATATCCACCTCATTCAGTATTTTACCAAGCTTCTCAGAAGCTTTGCTCAAATCAGATCTCCACGACTTTTCAGTTTCTTCTCTTTGTACTGCCGCTAACATTGCTGAATTACAACATAAGCATTAGCCCCCTCACATCATTTTCATAATCATTAATAGAAAGCAACATTTACCAGAAACTGCTGTAATCCTTTCATGAATCTTCTTCCTACAAGTCCGGCGAATTTTTAACACTCCACGGATAGAATTCGGCAACATTTTCAGATCTCTCGTCTATAACACCAAATAAACATCACATCTCAAGCATTAAATGATATCACCAAGAATATAAACCACACCAAAATTACCATTTCTAGCAAGATTCAAAGATCCAAAAACCACCACAGAAGCAAGAAACAATACCAATTGAGTAACAAATTACCTCCCAGCACCAAAGACAAGATTCAGTATCATCCTCCAAAACATCAGCATCTGCATTAAGCACACCATAACTCACTCTCTGACCTACAGAAACAACAGCACTCTTCACAGCTACAATAGTAACACTTTCAATCTTCTCCTTCAATTTCAAGTAAATCTCATCAACAAGCTTCGACAATGGCAAACTCATCTCCTCCATCAACAAAGCCACCATTGAATTCACAGACGAACATTCACTAAACCTAGAAAACAGATCTGTTCTCTTACTCTGATCCATAACTTCTCGAAAATACGCGAAAAGCCCTTTCATCTCTAAATTCAACGACGAGATCTGAGCTTCTTTCTCCTCAGAAGTTAGATTCTCAACCGCCGCGGGTTCTCTCTTCCGCTTATTCGGCTTCTTCGGCTCAATCATCGTCTTCCGATTTTCAATTTCATTCACCGTCGAAACTTCTTCCATCGCATAAAAAAAAAACCCTAGAAAAATTAGGGAATCTATAAACCCAAGGAAAATTGAAACAAGATCTAGAATCTGAGAAATCGAAAGCGAGAGTGGAGATTTCAGATTTGTTGTTCCTTTAGTGATTTTGATTTTGGATTTTATCGAATTTTCTCTGAGTTCTTAGGTTTTTGAGAAGATGAAGAAGGAGGGAGTGGGAAGATGATAGGTTTGAAAGAAAAAAAAATGGAGGATTCACTAAAATGAAGGCGTCGTTGATTTTCCCGCCAAGGAATTGACGGGTGGATTTGCCTCCAAATGACACATTGGCGCCAGTTTATTTTGGAGATTAGGAAGCACATCTTTATATGGGCCTTCTTTTGTGTATTTCCAGCCCATCAAGACGGAAATTTGGGCCTCTCTTTTTTTTTTGTTCAAACTGGGCCTCTCTTTTCATGTATGTAAATCTATGGTTGAATTAATACACCTCCCAAATTATTTAGTAAGAGTTACAAATGATTAATTACTGGTTGAAGTTACAATTGAGTTTAGACGTGGAGTTTAAATTTTGGTCAATATAATTTTTTGAAAATTTTAATGTATTTTAGTGGAGGAGTGAAGTTTTTCTAATTATTGAATAGAAGTTATAAATGATTTCAAATGTATAGTTACAGCTAATTTTAAATGTGAGTTAGTTAATCAAAGATAAATGTTATATATGTGTGTGTGCGCTTCAATGTGGAGTTTAAGATATGTTCAATATAGTTTTCAAAAATTAATGTACTATTTTAGTGAGAGGTGAAGTTTTTCAGGTTATTGAGTAAAAATGATAGATGAATTTAAAAGTGTAGTTGCACATTATTTTAAATGTGAGTTAATTACATATAACAGTTTCGTAAAAATAAAATTTAAAACCAAATGCCAATGGTCTAGTTGGAGAAAGTGAACATCTTACTATTCAGTCTTGCTTGCTTTAGAGTTTTATAAGATTTATGTATAACAAACTTCATCATCTCTATTTTCAACATTTGTGAATTTTGTTTGATAATTGTAACTGAGATAAAAGAGAAATCTTAAATACAAGAGCAAAGTTAATAACCAATATTAAACTAGTTTAATCAATCTTTAGTTTGAATGGAACATTGTTTGAAAAATGAAAAAAAAACAAACAAACAAAAACACTTCTAACAAAGAAATAGAGGTCGGTAAAACTAGTTAATGAGTTAATGTTGGCTCAAATTTGTTAATGGGTTAATTTTAGGGAGAATAACTAGAATGACCCTTATATGGGGATTAATAACTAGAATGACTCATATTTTTTAATAATAACTAGAGTGTTTTCGTTTTTTTTTTAATCTCCAAAATACTCCTATAAAGCTTTGTACAGAAAATCATAATAACAAAAATGTCATTAAAAAAAAAATGCCAGCTAGGCAAAAGTTGCTGTTATTTACAGAAAAACCTGTCATTATTTACAGTTTTGCCACTGATCTCTGCGAATTCAAATAAATATGTAGAAAAAATCTGCCACCGATTTTAGAAATCTGCCACAGATTTTATAAATCTACCACCGATTTATAAATCTGCCACAAATTTAATTGTATCGTTATCACTGACTTGTTTTCTTGCCGATTTGTTTTTGAATCACAGATTTGTTGTACAGATTTATTTCTACCACAGATTTAGTATACAGATTTTTTCATAGGTTACTACCGATTTATAGGCTATTACAGATTTTTTGTCTACCACAGACTTGTCTTACAGATTTTCTTTGATGACATCGCAGATTTCCTAGGTTTCCCAGATTTATTTCTACAGATTTGTTTTTCCTACGGACTTTTTGTCAATCACGTTTCCGCAGACTTATTAATAGTACCTACCGACATATATTAAGTCTGTACGTTGTTGCAGATTTGTTACTGCAAAAGATAATAACTAGACTGACTCTTAGTGATCACAGAGTTTTACCTCTTGACGGCAGATATATTATGAATCACAGATTTATTTCCCATCATCACAGATATATGTGTCGTAGTTGTTGCAGACTTAATCTAGACTTAACTACCTTTTGAGTTGTCACAGACTTGTTGTTACACTTTGACCACAGATATAGTTTTACAGACTTATTTGAAGACGCCACAGATTTGTTGTTACACTTTGATCGCAGATTTATTTGGTCTCTAGATTTATGTTGTCACAGAATTATTTGGTCTTTATTTTCATCATGCCAAGGGATTTTGCACTTCCAATACCAGAGCATGTTGCGACTAAAGTGTGTTCGCCACCTATTCCGAAACAACAACCAGGTAGACCTAAAAAGTCAAGATTTAAATATGCCCTTGAGAAAGCCATGGAGAATAAGAGGCGTAGGAAACAACACACGTGTACCAGTTGTAATGAAACTGGGCATAATCGTAAAACATGCAAGAAGGCATAAACTTGATGAAGTAGTCTCTGTTGTAAACTTTTGTTGTATTTTTCAAACTTGTATGAGTGTTGTTATGGAACATGTAAGACGTCTGTATTGACATGTCAAACTTTATGTGTTATTGTAGAACATGTGTGTTGTTATGGAACTTGAATGTGTTGTTATGGAACTTATATCTCTAAGAATTCACGTCTTACATGTTCTTATAAAAGTCTGTGGTTACAATAACACTCAGGAAAAATAACTGGTTCACAACAAAAAAGTCGGTGGTAACACCTGCAACAACTGGCTCACACCAAAAAAGTCTGTGGAAACAATAACATTCCTAAATAAGAAAACTTGCAACATCTCACTCAAAACCAAATGCAACCACGACCATATCATAAAGAGACTCATTTTGAGTGATCATTGAGATAGGAGATCTCGAACTCTGCACGACGAGGCAATAGATTAGTCAATGCTACGTCTCCCGTCGGTGGAACTTCCTCAAACATCTCAGCTCCTAATCTCTCCCGCAATGCCTGAATGTTCCCATCGTTAAGTCCATCAAACTGCCATCCTAAGGCTAGGCACTCTTTTTCTTCTCCAGAATCTTAGACACATTTTTCAAAACAAATATGTGATCAACGAATCAAAACTGTGGACATACTTAAAATAAGTCTGTGAACATATTAAAACAAATTTGTGGTTATGTCAAAACAAATCTGTGGTGACACAAACAAGTATGTGAACATATCAAAACAAATTTGTGGTCATATCTAAACATATCTGTGGTGATACTAACAAATTTGTTTCTTAGTAACACTACAAGAAAACATGAGATTAGCGACTTAATTCGGCGACTAATTTTGCAGTCGCTACATCTAGTGACCGTTTAGCTACGTTTTGGCGACTAAATATGAACCAAAATACGATAGTCGCTAATTAGTATCTAATATGAGACTGATTTATATTGTCGTTATATAGTCGCTAAATATGGCGACGGATTAGTTACCGAATATTTAGTCGCCAACTGGAGCGACTCAGTGGCTACGAATTAGCGACTGCGTAATTCTAGTTGGACATTCAAATTGGGCCCAAAAGCCCAACAACCCAGTAACGTTAGCCCATGAGCCCAAGTATGAACGTTTTCTACGTTCTCCCTTCGTAGAAAACCCTAATCCCGTTTTGCTCGCACCCAAATCAAACCCTAGATTCTCTCGATCTAGCGACGAACCCTGATTCTCGACCGAATTATCTCTCGTATCTCTCTCGATGGCTCCGAAGAGAGGAAGAGGAAGAGGAGGAAGAGGAAGGGCTCCGAAGGTTTCCCCAAATCGACCTGTCGCCAATCGACCCACTGCTTCTGGGACGTCAAATCGAACACCCAGTACTCTTCCTAGCCAGTATACCTTCACTCCGGCGAATCCTGAAGCCCCAGAGACTCAGCAAAGTCCGGTAAATCCTGTAGCCCTAGAGTCTCAGCCTCCGACTCATAGAGACTATCCTCCTCCGACGCAGCTGTTCCAGTCCGGCGATGATTCTCCTCGAGGCTCTGGGTCGCATCCATTTCGGGAATCTGGATCTACTCAAGTTCGAGGGTCTGGATCTGTTCAAGGACGAGGCTCTGTAGGATCTATTCATCGTCTAGCTTCTCGGTCGAATCAACCTCCTGCGCCGGTTCAACCTCCTGCGCCGGTTCAACCTCCAGCGTCGACTCAGCCTGCAGCGTCAAATCGACAAATACCATCTCGTCAACAAAGACCTTCTCCTCAACCTCGAGCCTCTGTATCGCATCATAGTTCTCAGGCTCAAAACTCACACGAGGAATCTGAAGATGAGGAAGCTGAAGGTGAATCTGAAGAAGATGTGTTGAGGGATTCAACACTCCCAGAAGATGTCCTCGCAGATTTACATGCTACACTTCTCATCCCAGGCCGTGAGAAGTTCACCACCGTCATCTCTCCCAACCTCGAGCCTGAAACCACTTGGTAAACATTTTTAATTTTGATTGTATATAGGTCTGATTGTATATAGATTAGGTAAATAGGTTAGCTTGGTAAACATTTTCAATACTTAAGTAGAGTCTTCTTATTGGTCTGCATGTTTTGGTCTTATAGTCTGTTAGGTTTGCTTGTATATAGGTCTGCTTGTATAGTTTGAGTTAGAGTCTGTTAGTATATAGTATTAGCTTTATTGGTCTGCTTGTATAACTTAAGTAGAGTCTGGTTGTATAATTTGAGTTTGTGTATGTTTGTATTTGATTAGGTCTACTTGTTCGCGGTAAAATTTTGTCTCCTCTTATACTTATGTAATTACACTTTTGTTTTGTTTTTTGATCACTAACACCAAACTCTACTCTTGTTTTGTAGAAACTACACACCTGGCATCCCTCAGTGACAGGTGTTGTTGAAGCTAAATTCTACAAGATTTGTCAGGTGCGGATGAAAGACATGGTTAGCAAGGCATGTTCAAAACGAGAGAGGCCAAATTGGATCGAGAAAAAACTTTGGATAGAGATGTGTGCCTATTGGGACACTGAAGAAGCATTAGCAAAGAGTTCAACCACATCAGCAGCTAGGATGTCTGACCGTAATGGTCTTGGTCCTCACAAGCATGTTGCTGGTCCAAAGTCATTTTTACAAATAGAGCAAGAGATGGTACATTCTGACCTATTTACTTTGTTTTAGTTTTAGATTACTTAGACCTATATATTTACTTTGTTCAGGAAGTTGAATTGGGAAGACCTCCTACTATTGGTGAAGTTTTCATCAGGACTCATACCAAGAAGGATGGGACTTTTGTGGATAGGAAGGCGCAGGAAGTCCATGAAA